TATTGGGGATATACGGTAAATATCATAATTTATAAAATAACGTATGTTTGCATATATAGTATAAGACGCTAAAATGTAACCTCAACATACTTAATAAAATCTAAACATACAAAATGTAAATAATATATATAGGATAATTATTAACATTGTAAAACAAAACAAAGTACAAATCAATGTTGCAACATTTTATCTATTTTTTTAGGCCACAATATCATTTGATATAATGGGTAAGTCATGATATCCAGCCCAGAAATTGCGAGAAGTAGTATATCGTTTCGCGACAAGCCATATAAAAGGATATATTGGTCAACACATCGGCTGATGTGTCGGCCATATTAGGGATATATCGTTCAAAATAGCCAAAAAGCAGTAAAGGATATATGAAGACCATATAGGTTGCGGCAAGCCCCGTAAAAGGAGATATTGGGGGATGCATGTTTGCATCCTACAAATAGGGTGATTATAACGTTATGAAGATGGAAAGAATGTCCTAAATAAATTGTTTGTGTTAGAGATGTTCAGGTAGTTGAGACCAGACTTGCTGATAAATTGGTTCTCGAAATGTGTGGCATCTACCATATGTTCCCATCAATCTCATATCTGTCGAATAACTAGATAAAGAATATTGGATACACAAATCTATTTCGTGGTGCTGCTTGGAAGCTCACTGACGTATTGCTTGTAGCAGTAAGGGAAAGAAATATTATACTCTTTAGAAGTGATTTGAATGCCAGTGATGCGTGAAGGCTAGTGATGAAGCTTCTATTTTTGATTTTTCACAATTAAGAGGGGGAGCAAGGCCACAACTGAGCAACATGATCCACCGCTATTTTCGCTGTCTAGAGGCAACAGCCTTCGAAGTAAGCACACTCTAGTAACGACTAACGAGTACTTAATGGCTATGCCTGGTGGTGAACCGAAATGCTTACAGTGGAGATGCTTGAGAAACAAATATTTTGCTCTGGGCTGCATTGAGCACGACATTCTTTTTCTTGTTTTTAATCTAAAATTAAGATTCTATCTCAATGCTTGACGAATATATATGGCCTGGACAATCTCCATAATTAGAGAAGATGATACATCAATATCTATAGGCAAAATGAGCTCAGTTGTGTTGTCTGATCGACGAATGTGGCTGACATAGGAATAGGTGAAAAAAGTTTAAAATAGAGCATTTAACGGTTCTATATGCAAATGCACAAGGCAAAACTTCAAAGATTCAGCAAAACTAGTTCATTGCGAAATTCCATCTAGACGGACAGTGCAAAACATATTTACTATTAGTGGTCGGTTAAACCATTAGCGCTAGCTGCTGCCAAAGTATCCTTTCAGCTTTAACAAATAGAGGCTACTACTTTGTACGTATGCATGTAGAAATGAAAATGAGAGAGAGAGAGAGAGAGAGAGAGAGAGAGAGAGAGATTCAGAGAGAGAGAGAGAGAGAGATTCAAGTTTTTTCAAAACTCTCAACAAGAGTACAATCCAAAAAAAAAAAACATTGTTTTCCCCCCAAAACTAGCTTAATACTGTTTTGAGAGGTTAAAAGAGAGCAGGGAAAAGACATAGATGGAGAATTCAAAGCTAAGAACAGTAACATATTCTAAGATGATGCAACGCTATGCACAATGACCTTTCTCCACAGTGAGACTCTTTTTTCCACTTTCTAGCAAAAAAAAGAGGCTGTTTAGACCCTCAAAATGACCAAAAAAGGATAAAAGAGAAGGAAGAAAAGACATGAGCTAGTAAGGCCCTTATTTAGATACAAAGCACCAAAACCCTAGCTATTTGAGAGCTTTGTCTAGTCTCACTCACTGCTTCATTCAAGCTGGACAAGAGAAATATTTGACCATAGACCAATATAATCTCGCCTTTCTTTGCTACAACAGTCTAAACACTTGCGTTCCATGTCTCCTATAAAGCCATGCTACTAGAGCAAAGAAAAGAATAGACTGTTCACAAACACAAACTCAAACAAAACGTGCTTAGTCGAAATAAGCAAAAGCTAAGGATGTTGTAAAGAACGATGCGCATTCCTTGAATGGAGTTGTCCTATTACCCCCCAAAAAGGCCTAAAACAAAACTTATCCGCTAAAAATAGCAATAATTAATCCCGCAAGCTACACCACGGTAGGGTGTTTCTGAAACACAGCAAAAGGGTTTGGGCAGGAAGCGAAGAGGGAAGACAGAAAAACAAAAAGAGCTGGTGCCGCGTTAATTTAATTTTAGGCAAGCCCATGCCAACAAATATTATATTGACATATGTGTATAATAATTTATGTGACAAATAAAAACAAAAGGGTGACGTGACTAGAGAGTATGAAGAGATTGACCTGCATCTCCTCCATCAATCAATGCTTTGCTTAGATTCTG